AACCCAAACGGATATCCCAGCAGAGAGGAGGTCTGCAATGGTTTCTGGGACAGATTCCTGCAGTTTGTCTTCGATTGCAGTAGCACCCATCAGCAAGAGATTCTACAAAAAAGAAGAGGAACATCGTTGGTTTGGTGAGATACACTTTACACGGAAACAAAGTACGAGGTGATACATAGATAGCCAGTCAAGTAATGAAGATACAGTAGGCTGCCCGTCTCATCAAATTTCATTCGGGATCATGAAATGTATTTTCGATTCCAACAGATTAGAATGAGTAGTTGGCGAGCACACGTAGGCTTTCGATAAATTCTTATCGAAACAAAACAATTTATGTGGGAACGGGGCACCAGTCAAACAAGCGACCAATGATGTTCGTCTTTTCACACAAGCGAGTTGTGGGAATGGGGATCGATAAGAGAGGGATGGCTACGTGGGGAGGGTTTGGTAGGGTCGTAATATTAGGTATCGTGCAGGCAAATTTCAGAATATTTCAAACACGCTAGGATGCCGGCTTTTGAACGAGTTTTTTTGATCACCTGAAAAAAGTATATTTTGTGAAAAGTGGCTACTTAAGTATTATACATTTTTCTCATTAATTGTCGATGCCCCTATAAATTCAAATATTTTTGATAGAAAACACGGACAAAACTGCATATTGTTTACCTTGTATTGAGGGAAAATCATGCATTCGATGTGTCATAAGGAAGAGATCGCGTAGTTTTCATAAACCCTATTATATATTTATAGGTAACATTAATACATTTAAGGGTACGACTTATTATGAATAAACATTTCAGTCCTAAATCTCATAATTATAAAGATGTTAGAGAATGAAGGATGCCCTTTCTGTAGCCGTAATATTAAAAGAAGGCGTGCAAAAAGAATACTTTTTTTCATGTTTTCTTTTAACAAAATCTAGTTAAATTGGTAAGGTCGTTGAAAATCAATGAGTTCGTACAATACTCAAGTAGCCATTTTCGGAGTACACATCTTACGTGCGATCAAAAATAAGTACGTTCCAAAGCCGGCTCCCAGACATGTCTAAAATATGTCGAGAGTAGGCTACATAATAATCAATATAAGAGCCCTACTTAAGTTTGTGGTTCGAATCAAAAACACATTTCATAATTTTGGCAGAAATTTGCCGAGACAGGAAATCTACTGTAGGTTTCAGTCAGATGCTTATAGGGCGCCTTATTTCCTCTTCAGTTGCCAACCATGGCCTTAATTCACGCGTACGTCTAAGTATCTAACTAATTCGCGCGCCAGTTACCGTGCCTGTACCAACACTCTGTGAAGTAGACTGCGGACATAGTCGGACTACAACGATTAGACTGTCGTCCCGGTTGCCGATTATGCAAAAACCTTTCTTTTAACACTGTCGGTCTTTTAATTTAAGCCGTCGCTTTTTATGATCCCCATTGACGTGGGCATTTTCGTGATTGTATACAACTCGGAAGATATTATTCGCTTTATATTGAGTTCCTTCCTATCTGTGTTTGTTTAAACTGGGACTGTTGGGTCATCTGTAGAGTACGCTAGCCCCGTTTTAAACGAAATTAAATCCTGCATGAATTTCGCACCAAATTCCCCGACAATCATCCATGATGCCGACAGTTACACCTCGCGCCCAATATGTCCTATAATTGATCCTTCAGTGTATCCTTTTTCTTGTTGCTTTTAAAAAACCCGGTCAGTTCCAGAGTTCAATTCAACAAACCATCGTTCAATTTTCGAAGAAACTCGTGATATGAAAGTATTTCTGTTAACCAAAGGACACAGCAAGATCAACTAATCTTAATAGTTGATTGCGGATACCGACTACCAAATAATTACTCTTTCGTCCTGCTGCCTCCGACATTATTAGGTAGCAGAGGTAGAGAGAGGGTCAATTATGTCAATAAAAACTGCTGCGTAAACGGTAAGCCCTTACTTTTGCAGTGTCATGAGCTAATAGATGCTTGTCAAATAATGTTCAAATAAACACGTTTGCTTGGACTTATGTTCTCTTTCCAACTGTGATGAGGCCCTCTGCCCTAAATTTCAGAAAGACTTGTTTAAGTGTCTTGTGAGAATCTTACTTTGTTGTTTGACGATTTTAATTGTGTCAACCCTCCACTTCTATACATCATCAATTCTCGTGCCCTTAACCATCTTGATCACATTTAAAGTAAACACCCTTTGTCAACACACTTTGTTGACTGGTTCAGATACTTCGGCGATATTGGACCCTCACAAAATCTACCCTACTTCTTAGCAAGTACCGTTAGCCAAAACTTTCAGTAAAATTATGCGTTTCAACACACTACTCAAAGTTTTCCGCAAAGTTTTATAACTACTTTTCTTCCCCTACAGAACGTTGAATTATATACTAGATGCCTTACAACATTTTTAAATGCAATGTCTGATGCCTGTTCTGCCCAGACCTGATCAAGGTTCTTCCTGATATCTTAAATGGTTAGGTCACAAAGGACTCCGCTACGCAATTTTGTCATCCTCGTTCAGTTTGTCGGACTCTTTACAACTTGCATATCAAGCCAGGCGAAGTCCCTTCGATGCTGTTGTTCTGGTACTCTAAGAGAGCTTGACAAGAGTTGACGCGAGCACGCTTGTGCATCCCTTGACTACTATGTCCCCGCCCTGAATAGCGTTCCGCGCTAAATCCTTGTTAGCAAAACATGTTGATGGGGCTCTCCTGGTTGGATTACTTCCTGCCTTCAGTATTATTTTTCTTTCCAACTCAGCATGTCAAGTCTGGCAAGCGGAAATCTACTCTTCTACCTAATCGCTGTACAGTGTCTCACGGCGTTGCCTTATCCTCTCATTTTGTGGCCCTTCACACTGATGACATAAAATCGTCTAACCATGGTTTATGCAGACGATGTGGTTGCTACTAGGGAGACTTGGCAAATTTGAATAACTCAACTGACCCAATTATGAAAAACTTTCGCGGCCTCGGTGGGATTCGAGCCCACGCAGCAGGGAAGGCTTTTGTACAGCCAACGCTCTGCCACTGAGCTACGAAGGCACGCTGAAGCTTTGAATTTAATTAAATTTGGGTCGATTTGCCTGCCTAGCTTTACTGCACGTACGGAATCTACCAATACGGACGCAGTGAGCTGACTGCCCAGGCAGGATATTCTAGGCAATCATCTAGAATCCACCAGAATGACTACTAGGCTCGCTTAATAATTAAGAGGGTTCGAATCCCACCGAGGTCGCATATTTTTTTACAATTGGGTCAATTTAATTGGATGTAGTTGTTGTTGAGGTAATAATTAAATAATTAATAAAATTTAAAGCAGCGTTTCCCAGGTGCAAATTTAAAGATAGCAATAACAGCAAAATTTATTGGATGCATGGCAGACGTTTTTCCCCGTTTTTTTGTTGACCATAGCGTTTGGACTTCTTATGTTATTGATTAGCCTCTTGGCCATTTCTTATGACTTTTTGTTTGTATGGATTTTTTTGTGTGAATTCAATTAGTATTTTCACTTATGTGATTAACGTTACGCAATGAGAGGCAGCAGCTGAAGAGCTCTCTCGAAATGCCATGGATCCAATAAATCTTGCTGTTATTGCTATCTTTAAATTAATAAAATCTTGGCGTATGCTTCAAGGGTGCCAGATCGCGCTGTGGCGCGCGCAGAGGGGTTCGCCGGCTCTGTCAGCCACAGTGCCCATTCTACATCAGACAACTGACCGGCTGAGACAGTGGCCTGATGCTGAAGGTGGGGGAGAGACTGAGGTCGGCGGCTCGGAAATTCCTCGTTTACAAACAACCTAACGGTAAAAGCCGTGGATTGTAAGGTTGCCAACTGACGGAAAACTCGGACTATGTGGTCAGTCCAGTGCGTGTTGTGTTGTACGGAATGCTTAACTGGCGGACTGAGAGTCAGGCTACGATGCCTCCTTCGTCATGTGGCCTTTATGGCACTTCCACGCAACTAG